ACTTCTTCCACTCCTAGTGTCAGAGGTGGCTTCAAATGACCCGTTTTCACACAGAGACCGATGCAACCTCTCGAATATTGTGTGCTTCGTCATATGCCTGTTTGGAAACCGTTCCTGGTACAACCACAGCGCTGCTCTGCCGTTCCCATTAGCAGCACCATACATGAGATGCATGCCAGCTTTTTCCCTGTGCGCAAACTCACCCATCACGCTCGACATCAAAAGTTGTGAATGATCTTCTGATGCATCGGATCGTGGTTTGTACGGCTCACTACCGCCCTTTACCACTGCATTGCCAGCCAATCACAGTTGTAGTTCCTATTACTGTTAGTGTTCCCTTCTTTGAACATTTATTGTGAATACTGTATTGCTGCAAAAAAGCACTTTGCGTTCATTTTGTACATAAACACATTTTCCTCTCGTGTACTTTTTTTTTTTTTTTTTTACGTTCCTGCCATACCCGTCACTTTAGACCCTGCATTCCTATACAAAAAATGCATATTTTAGTACGCTCCACCACCCCTCCAAGTTTGTTGATCTATGAAACACCCTGTATAATAAATAATATTACTAGTACAAAATCTAATAAGATATTTAATTTCTATTTCCCTGAAATTGAATCTTGCCTGTTCTTTAAGTTGTCTCCACTGCTCCTTAGGCCTCAAATCATACATAAATAATAAAGAGAAGGTAGTGTGCAGCTGACTCAGTGAAATCATACAGTGACTGTCAATTCGTGTTCGGTTAACTGTGACTGGTTGACCCTTTTATTAGGCTCACATGAAGTTTACTTATTAGAAAGGTTCAGCATGACATTTGTAGGCAGTTTGTGAGAATTTGTCTGTTAGTAAGATGAAAACAATTACTATGCGGATGAATCCAATTTAAAATTTAGGGGTGCTTCTTCACTGATGAAGAGTAAAATTAGGTAAATATTTTTTTAAATTTTTTAACCTAGCTTTAAAAAGCTAGGGTGGGAAATATGAAGGAACTATGGTATACTTTATTTTTTACATATGAATTACTTTTACATATAATTCATCTAAAAATGCAATTTTCTTTCAAATTTTACAACAACAACAACAACAACAACAACAACAACAACAATATAATAATAATAATAATAATAATAAAAAGACAATGTTTGGAAGATTTTTTGAAATTTATTAAGATGAGAAACTGTTAACAGAATTTGTGAAGAATTTTGGAGAAGTGACTATAAATGAAGATGATGTAATAGACATTTCTTATTGTGATGACAAAGTCCCAATCATCAATTAAATAACGGATGACACAACCTATAGCATAGTTTTAAATCTAGAAAATATCACTACTGATAGCGAAGTACATGACAGAGAGCTAAAAGATTATAATTGACGGTTAAGGCAAGAATTCTCGACATAGGAATTGGATAATGGAACACTGTAACTGAATAAGAAATTATGTCTGTCTATAAAACTGAAGAGAAAATAGTAATATAAAAATAAAATAGCTAAAGCAACTTATATTGAAAGAAATATTTCACAGACCACCCAAATACTGATTTTTTTTTTTTTTTTTCTTTTTTTTTTTTTTTTTTTTTTTCCGAAATTTCGATTTTCTTCAGATGATTGCTTCACTATTTCATAAACAAGTATTTAAAATTTTAAATTTTATAATTTCTATATGTCATCTTACTTGATTTCAAGTGACGGTATAAAACCTGGAACTGTTAAACTCGGACTTTACAATGTATATTTGTTTTTGTCAAGTAGCTACAACAGCTCAAATTTGTTCAGAGTGCCATCTCAGTTAGTTTCCAAAATGATTTCCAACTTGCATTAATTCACATAGTTATGACTGCATTACACAGCTTTTGCATCAGATACAGTTCATTTTGTAAGTAAAAGCATAGACTTCATTCTAAAGATGCTTACAGAAATGAAGTTCAAAGAACAGAGAGGTGCCAAGTTTTTTTTTCAACTGAGGCAAAAGGGAAAATGCACACCCTCCTCTCTCTATATATACATATATCAAAATAGCTATATTTGTATTAAACAAAAGTAAATGTATTAAATCAAAATATCATAATTCTTTAAGTATTTTTTAATCATAGCTTTATAAATTCAGAAAATAATATAACCAATTATTTATATCAAAATATCATAATTCTTAAAGTATATTTTAATCATAGCTTTATAAATTCAGAAAAATAATATAACAAATTATTTGTAACTTTCACATGAAAATGTTAAAAAAATTATTTTTTGATAAATAAGAAATAACATTGAAATGCACATTGCATTATTTTCCAAGTTTTTTTACAATTTTTCCTATTGGTTTATTAATTTAAGTTTGCTGAAGCTTATTTTCTCTAATAATAATTGACAAATTTAAAAACATAATTAAAGTAATTTTTGAATTCGTATGGCCAATTCGGAGACCCTTCTAGTGATTCACCCGAGGCAAATGCCTCACTCTTGTCCCGCCTCTATTTAAGAATTATAATAGTTATTGAAATATGACAAACTAAATGTCGTTTTCTCGGAGCCTTATCATATCAGGTTCACTAAATCTTGGTCATGATTGCAGTTCTGTTTTGACAAATTAAGCATCAGGTTAGTTCAGGTTAGTAAGCAACCATTTAGTCTTATATCTGGTGAAATAAGTGTTTCAGAGTACTGATAATATTCTTCTAAACAGATGGCACCACTAGCAATGCTTCACTCAATTGCACTGCTAAAGATATGAAAAATATGCTAAAATTTTAGCATATTTTTCAGATGCTGCCCTACAGACTATTTGCTTTTCTGATTGATGTAGTAGTTTTTTCAAGGGTTTGAGATGAAGTCAAATTTGCATTTGATCACTTTTCCCCATACAAGTGAACACATTTTTATATAATAGGAATAGGTTATCACAAAATGAATCACTAAATTTTGAACTACTTTATACTTCTATGTATATGATGATTAAAACTTCTCCAGTCTTCGATTTTTCCAAAATCACTTTCTTTCCAACCTGTTATTGACATTACTATTCCATTTTGAGGACTGTAAAAAAATTGCAGCGAAAAAGTATGCCCATTTACAACCTCGCCAAATCAGCGTACGCCCTGATTTCAGATTACGTAAGTTTATATAGCTTTATTTCTTAAGAAATTGCTAGTGTGCTTTGCCATAATTAAATACACCACCAAACCTTAAGCGCCATTGAAATACTAGTTAAATTTTTAAATCCTTTTTTGATTTCCTATGGAATTTAACAATTTGGGAATTTCCCTCCCATGACGAAAAGGTCTGCAATAGAATTTTGGGTAAAGAGCAGAATCACCCACTGCTTGACGCGTTTTTAAGAATTGCACATACTCGGTATCCATGTACACATTGATCTATTTTCATTTAATTTTCACTTAAAAAAAATCCCAGAATTGTACAAAAATGATGCCACTGAGCACACCCTTGACTTTAATCTATGTACACATCGACCTATTTTCATTTAAAAAGTAAAAGAAAATCAACAAAAATCCATTTGTTTTTACCCTTGTAAAAAGCGGCAAACAAATAAGTGGGTGATTCTGCATTTTACCCAGGATGTTTTCAAAGAAAAGGCATCATTCATTACAGAAAATTATGTTTGAACAACCAACGAGATGAAATTATGTTTTAGCGATAACTCGGTAGCAAAATAGCGATGCAGGCTTCCATTCAGTTATGTTTAACAATTTTTATATAAATTATAATAATGATCCGAAATAGTTATTTACTCTTATGCTTCTATTCAGTCATGTTTAGCCTTTTTTATATAAATTATAATAATAAAAAAGCATTAGATGAAATTGACCTTTCATCTAAATTAAAACATCAATCTTAGATAGTTATGTACTATTATACTTTTGTTGAATCTTCGGATTATGGTAACTTGGTGAATCTTTGGCAACCAACCCTGCTACAACAACCTGCTGGTTTTTTTTCTTTTTCGAACGCCATTTTGTTTTCACGAAGTAAAGGCATTTATTTTTTTTTTTTACTCAACATTTTTTCCAACAATCTGCTAGCTGAATTATGCTTATGCTAGAACTTTTGTGGAACAAAAGTGCTTAATCATAACGAAGATTAGGTGCAAAATTGGGAGAAAGTGTAGAATCGCCCACTGCTTGCCGCGTTTTAAGAATTGCACATACATGGTATCCATGTACACATCGACCTATTTTCACTTAAAAACACATCTCAGAATTGCACAAAAATGGCATTGCACACACTCTTGACTTTATCCATGTACACATCGACCTATTTTCACTTAAAAAGTCAAAGAAAATTAACAAAAATCCATTTCTTCTTACTCTTGTAAAAAGCGGCAAACAAATAAGTGGGCGATTCTGCACTTTAGCAGCAAAATTGTTTCTAAGTGCTTATTAGCTAAAATTCCGATTGGAATTTTCCCGACTATGTCACATTAATACCTCATGATCTCTCATTTCTCCGAGACAAAATAATCTGTGATTCGAACTGTGTACTTCTCAGATTATTGCTAACGTCCTAGCTAGTAACCTTTATCGCCTTACCAAAATGTCGCCAAACTACCTGTTACCATATTCCAAAGATTAGGCATACTTTTTTTCTTGCATTAGGGTTGCCACAATTATTTTTGGCAGCACTGGCATCAACAATAGTTTGGTGATTTTTACGGCCCTCAAAACCGAATAGTACCTAATTAGCATATAAGCTAAACATGGGATAAAAACTTTTCTAAATAATGAAGATTACATAAAATATGTCATTATATAAAAATGTAATTAAATACAAATTTTTATCACAGAAGACAGAATAGCCAATTAGCAACTAAAAAAAAAAAAAAAAAAATAATGTAAAAAAAAATTTCACAAGAGTTTAAATTTTATGACACTAAATTAAATTTTATTTTTAACAACATACATGAGATAAATAATCATACTAAAATTTTCATTATTTTACATAAGAATAGGAAAATATCAAGCAAAGTGGCAATCGAACAATCATTACCTGACAACAGCATTGAACAATTTAGCTTCTCTAATTCGCAATGTATCACGCTCCAAAACAGCACACAGTGTTTCATGATCAATGTCAGTGAAACCTTCTGCAGCCAAAGCTTCAGAAGTATATTTATCAATAGTTTCCAAACACAAAGCAGCAAGCTGAGGTTCATCAAATAAACGAGCTTGAGTCAAAAGCATGAAAGCATTATCACTGCTCAGATTTGATTTTAAAAAATCTACACAAGCTTTTTCAAGAGCAGGAACAGCATATTTTTTTGCTGTATATAACGTCATCATTACAGTTTCTGGACCTATTTGCACTTCATCCGAGTATAAAAATCGTAACAGAGCTAAAAATGCTGCTGGTTCTACATCAGGAAGTTCTATTTCATCAGATGTTGTAGCCATTGCACCATTGAACATTGCATCAAAGACTGCACTACCAACAGATAATATAAACTTGTGAGCTGGTATCCTCTGCTGTTGGGCACCTTTACCCACAATAAAATGAACGTCACTAAGAATTTCTTTATTAAATATAAATGCTAGCCTATCCTTTACAGTAAGACGAGATGCTTGCCAGTTGAACATAATCTGCCCAGAATAATTGACAACACTGTTTCCCACAGCAGCTTGAGTAGTATTAGGGAAAGTGTCTTCTGGTGGTCGACGGCCATTTGTATTTTCTCTGTCGCGATGGTTTCCAGGGATATTAACTGGTAATTCCTGTACATCTGATGGGCACATATGTGAGCCATTACTTGGTGTAAGCTTAGGAATGCCGGAAGACATTTTTTATTTTTCTTTATGCATCAAACAAACAGCATGGCATCTGATTAAAGATGAAGAGACCGACACCTGGAAGAAAAAATATCCAATGAAATTAAAGGTAATATAGCATTAAAAATGTACACACTGCAGGATAAAAAGGGGGGACGCAGTTATATATCTCCTTTCTACTAGGCCAACTGATGAAATTTAACTTACATTTTTCATGTCTTGAAAGCACGACTTAGAATATATATTACATTTATACATAGCATTGTTCTAATACAGGTATTCTGATGCAAAACTGGAATTTTTCTGAACTGTTAATCTTTAGTTTAAAACTTTGAATTTGCATACTGTTTTCTTTTATTTAGAATGTTTTCAAAACTTAGTAAAAGTATTGATAAGACAATTAAACAGAAACACACAAAAATTACCAGGAACTGGATAACATTAATTTAACTTAAGGTGAATTTAAATTACGGTGATATTCAAAAATTTAACCATAGGAATTTTTAACCCTGATTGCAGTATCAAAGGCCAACAAAAAAAAAAAAAAAAAAAAAAAAAAAAAAAAAAAAAATGTAATTTTTACATCTGCTATTACTTGGAAAGATGCAAGCACAAATAAAAAAAAGACTGGGCAAAAATGTGGTCAAATGCCACGAGGAAAACTTCTATTAATACTGAAATATTGATAGAGATACAGAGGGTGTTCACACATTTTTGTAATGGTTTTGCAAAGATTTATATAAAAAAAAACCTTAAAATTTTATTTTTTAATATGTTCAATTCGATGGCCATTTTGTTGAACTATCATATTACATCTTGATTTTCAAGATAAAAGTCATTTTCTTAAAACATCAAGGTTGATTTTATTTCACGTCTCCTTCACAATCTTCCAGAGTCCATCTAATATTTTGGGATGCCGCTTATAAAGAGCTTGTTTTAAGAGTCCAAATGCACAGTAATCCATAGGAGACTTGGGTGGGATGCATTTAAAGGGAATAGCTTCAATTCCAGTTTCATTTCTTTCAAAAAATAGAGCAGTAGATTTAAAGATGTGGCTTGGAGCCTTACCCTATTAAAACTTTTGTATTACCTCATATGTGAGATTGTTTGGATAAAGAGATGGAATTTCTTCTTTAAAAATAGGTGATAAAATATACTTCTGATGGTAATATGAATTAATTTGGACATTTTGTTCTACTTTCCTTATTTTAAGTTTTCCGTAATAAGAGAATCCAGTAATAACCATAAAACCTTTAGAAAAACTTTCCTTGTTTTCTCTGAACCAGCATATTATTAAGTCTTTTTCTCTTCTTTTTGTATTGCAATCAGATAAGTATATCCAACCCTCATCAGTTGTAATTATATATTTCTATTTTTCACTTTCTAAATAATTTTCATAAGCAATCTGTACATAGTCCTATGTTGAGAAACAAGTTTCGGCATTAGGCGATGAACATCATGTTTTTCTATTTTGCTTTACCTTTTATAATTTTGTTCACAGTTCCTACAGAGATATTTAAATATTTTGCAATAGCTCTTTAGGGAGCTGGATTTTCCTTTAAAACATGAGAAGCGACTTTAAGATTTAATGAGAGCTGTACATACCTTTGTTCAGTATGCATTTTTTGTCTTTTTTTCTAGTCAGATGTAAACTTTAACATTTGTTTCCTTTCATATTAATTATGTCACTTATTTTACGTGTAGAAATATTAAAACAAAGCTTTTCACATTTTTTTAATAATTGTATTTCTGTTTGGACAGCCCAAAAATATAGCTTTCAATCCATTGTTTATTTTTCAGCAATATTTTAATGAAAGAATATTTTTAATGCTTCAGACGATAATTAGACCTTATTCCAATTTGAAGCCAGTCATGTTTGCATTTAAAAATTAATATTTAAGTTCAATTATTAAAAATTAAAATTGTTACAAAAATGTATGAACACCCTCTGTATATATTGAAATACTGAAGATTCAATGATTACTGCTTTGAGTTATTAAAACAGTTTGAAGTCTTTCGAAACAATCCATTAATCACAAACTAATCAATTCTGACAATTAAATTAATGAATGGATTAAAAGTGATACCACAGAAGAATTAAATGAGGATATCATAAATCAAAGATTATTGAATATGTATACAGCACAATAAATGAATAGAAATAAAGAAGGAGAAAACTCAAACGAGATTACTTGAAATATGGCTGGAGAAGCATTAAACATTAGTTCAGTTTGCTAAAAAAAAAATGAAAAATACAACAATGGGGATAAATAATAAATATTCACATTCTATGGAATGACATGAAAAAAAAAAAAAAAAAAAAAGAGAGAAAGCACAATCTATGAAGGAAGTAAAACTCAAATTTTATTTAGAAACACTTCATGTATTAGTAATATCAATTTCTGAGCAAAAAATTATTATATACGAATCACGAAATCAATTATGAATACGGTTTGCCAAATGAAAGTGCTACTGCCATAACTGTGCTATTGTTTCAAGATGTAAAAGACTATGCATGTCCCTATAGAGGGTGCCATATTGTCAGATTGCAACAGATGCTTGGCAATAGCATAGAAGCAAGGTCAACAGTATTGTTCGTATTAGAGATATCAACGTGCAGCTGTGCAATTTTTAATAGCTGCAGAACATGAGTGCTGGAAAAATTTACTTCCACATCCAAAACATGTATAGCATAGAGTGTATGTCACACAGATGAATATTCAGATGGTGTAGCGATTTTCGTCGAAGGACGAAGCAGTATGGATGACAGGACAGGACCAGATCATGCGCATGTGGTTATCACCCAGGCAGCAATTGCAGCTATAGACAGTCTTCTGAGAAACAGTCAACAATCACCACTTGCGAGATAGCGGATGGAATGCCTATGAGCAAAAAAAGTGTTCACACATTTCTACATGAAAGGCATTGCAGCATTTCTGCATGTTGCAATGCCGAAAGGTTTGCAGGAAATGAGTTCCTAAACATCATCTGAAAAAGAAGCAGAAGAGTTACTGCATAGGTGTTTCCATGTAAAACCTTGTGCATTACCACAAAATGGAGAAACATTTCTTTCCTTGGATTATTGCTGCTGATAAAACGTGGTGTCATCTCTTTGAACTGGCCACCAAACGCATAAGCACAGAATGCCGACACCCTTCATCCCTGCAGCTAAAGAAGGTTCATTTATCCAAGGGAGCTGGATAAGTCATGCTTCTTCGACATTGATGGCCCACTGTTGTTAGGATGGCTGACTCTAAGCACAACTGTTAATGCTACCAGCTACTGTGCCACATTACATAAGCCGACATAATACAAGAGTCATAAAAAGTTCTGAAGTTTTGCTATTAAGTATGAATTAATTATCAATAATTATATACATGTAATTATTTCATTTCCTACCTTTTTTTCAGTAACTACAAGGTTACCACATGAATACATTTAGCAATTCACAGCTATGTGCATTTATGTCCTACACTAAAAAGTTTGAGAAGCACTGGCATAATAGTTTTCTAATAAAATACAAATCAAAGTTTAATCTCTACTTACAGTCATTGTGTTCTACTAAAGCTTTTAAAAGCAAAAAAGCAATTAACTATTAACTTGTACTTTAAAAATACAGTTTTCTTATATGCTGAAATTTGGGTTAATTGGAATGTATTATTGTTATTTATTTGAAAAGTTCTGACAAAAAAGTGTAAGCACTCAAGCACTATAAAATACCTCTACAAACAACATTTACAGAATTTCTACAAAAATATGTACACTAATTTACAATTTTATAAACCAACTAACAGAATCATAAAGTATGATTTTTAATTCAATTTTAAATAATTTAAAATGGATTGAATATATATTCAAGAACCTTTTAATGTAGCTAATGAAATGCTTAAAGAAGAATTTTACTTTACCAACAGACACTATTTCACACAAGGATAAATAAAGATATAAATTTAAAGAGTAAAATTTCAAAATTTTAATGAAGTTCTACAAATATATGAAGCAACACATTTTTAAAAGCATATTCTTGAAAACTGTTAACAAAAAGTCTATTTTATACGTTTAAATGCTTTATATATAACGTTAGCACACATTTCAGAAAAGTATGCAAAAAGATTTTGTTTGACTCCTAGACTGTGTTTTCATAAGCTCACACATATTAGAGTTTTAATAAAGTGCATCTTTATAAAAATGATTTAACATGTTGAAAGCTGTCTAAATAAAGCATTAGAAGACGCGTGAATAAATATTCAATCTTTTTCTAAGTGCAATTATTATTTAAATTTGTTAGCATGCTTTAAAGTATTTATAGAAAATAAAACAGTTTTTCATTTAACAGCTATATTTAAGCATTTTAAATAACACACAATTTCGTTCACGACAATTGTTAAAATATCGAAATTCAAACAATGTATTTCTGAATTTAGAGAAATTATTATCGAATTAAAACACACTGAAGAAAAAACTCATATACCCCCAATAAAATCGAGACGTTATTATAACGCACATAAAAACAGATAGTGCAAATTCAATAAATATGTAAAAATGTACCACTTAACATGGTTTGGAAAAGCGCTGAAAAATGCTACAAAGATTGCGAAACACTGTTTACCTTTTGCTAGCTAATTTGCATACAATTATACTTGAAAGATAAGCAATAATGATGAAACTAACTTGCATTCCATCCTTGATTTATAACTAATTATCGACGCACCATCTAAAGCTGCACGAGTTTTTTTTTTTTTGGCCCCTTTAAATAAAATAAATTGACTTAGTGATTGTCATTTGTACTTTTTATTGAAAGACAGACAGACAGACAAACCCAAATAGTTCTTAATTGCAAGGTCACGGTTATGATTAAATTGGAAGTTAATCATGATTTTAGAGTTGATTTATTAGTTAAAAATAAATAAATTCATAAAAAGAAACCTTCTGCTAGCACTTTTATGATATTTTAATTTTTGGCTTTCCAAAAGAAATATCAAGAAAGAAATTTATTTTGTTCCCCATGTTATTTACTTCTCCTTCGTAAAAGTTGTAATATATCACTTCATGATTGGTTAAAATTAAATCAGAAATACGAGTCCTCCTTAAGTTTATCCACATTTGAATTAAAAAAAAAGTTCTGATGTCAAGATTACAGTAAAAGCTATAACTAGGGAGCTGATAGGGCTTTAGGTTAGGAACCTACCACAGCACAGACCTTTGTACTGCATTTGGCGGCTTGGACGAAAATTCTGCCCGAGTCTTTCTTTAAAAGCTTTTCTTAATATATTCTTTCAGATGTTTTAATTAATACTTGCTTATTCGGACCAACTGTCTGCTTGTTCTTCTTATTCGCTCCTGCCCTTAAGGCTGCTGTTGACCTGGGGTTAACTAGACCTAGAGCCCGAGTCTGGACACCGTCGAAACCGGTATTTTTCTGTGATTTATTCGATAAAGAGCGAGTCTTGTTGTATTCGTTTCGATCATTACAGAAATCGGCGGGTCGGAAATTTTTTTGGCAGCCCTCTAGAGAAATTTCTTAATTTTTCGGTTTAACATTTTGGCGACTGTTTTAAAGTGGCTGAGTTGACAGACTCTTTTTGGAAGTACCATGGATCTCAGAATGTCAAGATTTAAGAACTCGAGTGCTTTGTGATAGAAGCAACTCATTTTATGCTCATGATTAAACTTTTATCAGGTATACGATTTTAGAAGTCTATAAAATTGCCTCTTATCAATGAATTACAGCCACGTTTGACGGGGAATATCGACATCGAAGACTACAATAACTACTAAATTAAAGGTAAGGAATAATAACAGGCGAATTATTATTTGCATTAGTTTGATGTTTGTGTAATATAGGTTTCTGGCTATTGATCTCTGAAATAAAGTGTTCATTAATTTTAGTAAATATAAAATATTTGGCACTCTCAATTTCACGTATCAAACTCAGGAATACATTATGTTCCTGTTCAAATAGACTGTTTTCTCTGTCTCTGAATGGCAACACGAAAAATCAATAGAAGAGCATTGATTTAGAGAATGCTAAGTGGCAATAGTCTCAAATTTGGAACTTGCTTTCGATTTCTTTGAAGCAACTCGAATGCTACAGGCGGTGGCGTAACTAGAACTCTAGGACTCATATGAAAAAAAATTTCTTCCCCCCAATAAATTTAAAGTATTCTCCCCCCAAAAATCGGGGTTTCTAGGAGCCAACATTTTGATAATGATTTTTCTGAGATCAGGATTAATAATTTAAAATCTGATATGAACACACATGACTTCTTTGTATCGCCTATTAAATTATACATATTTTTTGCTACCCTTCATATAAAGTTATTTCCTCGAATTATATTTACTTAATTAATTGATCCCTCAAGGAGAGTTGAAAAATAAAAAATTGCAAATTTTTAATATCCCGGTCAGTTTTTGTCGTACGGGAGTCAAATTTCTCTCAAATAATTTATTTTTTCATAACGAGTATAAAACTTTCCCAAGTATTAGTATAGGAACCGGGAGACTGCATGAAAAGTTAAATTTCATTATTCGTGGAAAATTATGTTTTTTTAAAAATTTGACTCAGACAAAGCATTTTTCGTCATTTAAAACATTCTGATTTGTCACTATTTTATATGGTTTTTCTGGAATTTGATAGGATACACAAATGTTTCTACGACCTTTTGCTAGGTCGTAGAAACATTTGGGTATCAAACCCTCCTTTCTTATTATATATATGTAAGATAAAAAATATGAAAGCAAACTTCTAAATTTAATTCACTATAACCTCTTATATTTTTTATTTCATTTAGGAACTTCATCTATCCGTCCTAAAAATAGCGCTTACACCTAAACTGCGTCATTAAAATTAATCATGCGATCTTACGTAACGCTTAATGCATATGCCTCTGGACCAGTCACCGAATTGTAAACGAAAACCAAAACTGAAACTTTTGACTCCCTTCCTTCTTTTTACGAACTGATGCGCCACTTTTGCTTGTGCTTTCCTCTTGGCCAGACGTCTGTCTGCAATCATGTGTGTACTGCTAACTTCTCTTCTATGGCAATAGTATCAAAATTGTAAATGTTCTTTAATAGGCACGAGTAGAGTGCAAAGTGAATTGTGTCCACAAAATGGGAATTTAAATAAAAAAGGAATTTAATCCGGCTCGACTGCTTCTTCTTCAAAATGGATGGACGCTCTAAGCATAAAGTATCGACGCAATTAGTATTTCTGCGCATAGTGCTTCCAAAATTTGTGCTATCATTACATATATACATATATGTACATACAGATGTCAAGAAAAAATTCCTTTTGAAACCATTTTAAACATATTTTAGGGAAATAGAGTCCTTTGTACTGTCTGTACGTACAGTCGTCAAGGAAAAAAAAAGGCCCAAATGGTTTATGTGATTACGGCAAAGCCACGAGAGCTATCTGCCTAGGGAAAGGAATACCTAGGAGATAGCTCTCGCCTTAGATAGATAGGAGGTCTTTCTAAGGGAAACTGGGTCGTATACACGTGAAGGGCCAAGTCACGGATACAAGTGACGTAGCAGACACATCGCCGAAACCAGTTTTCCCATAGGACAGCAAGTTGAAAAATCTGAACTCCAGGTATAGCGGAGCTAGTTGGCACAGGGAACTGACTCCGTTAACTCAGATAAACCCCAGTAGGAACGGCCCTTTACACATAAGGAAAACTACGGAAGCACATGCAGCCAGCCCGTTCGGGGATTCGAACGGGATCTGTCAACCTCGGACCGGACTACTACTATTACTTTCAGCTCGGCACTGGTGGACCCCAGATGGATTTGGGAACGGTCAAAATGGATATTTCCGTTTAAATATGATAATATTTAATGATGATATGTTAAATAAAGGACAGCAAGTTGAAAAATCTGAACTCCAGGCATAGCGGAGCTAGTTGGCACAGGGAACTAACTCCGTTAACTCAGATAAACCCCAGTAGGAACGGCCTTTTACACATAAGGAAAACTACGGAAGCACATGCAGCCAGCCCGTTCGGGGATTCGAACGGGATCTGTCAACCTCGGACCGGACTACTACTATTACTTTCAACTCGGCACTGGTGGACCCCAGATAGATTTGGGAACGGTCAAAATGGATATTTCCGTTTAAATATGATAACTGAAGTTTTTGCGATTACGCTACTTTCTTTACTTCGTTCAAAGGAATAAAAAAGAGAACTTTTAATTTCATCCAAAAGCTTTGTTTTCAAGCAACTACTACTTAAATAATAAATTAACTCATTTACTGTTGCAGGATTCAAATATTCACAGTGCTTGAGCAATTTTTTAACATTCATCACAATGTAATATTCTGCTAATAATTTGACATCAGATAAAAAATTAGCTATGTATTATCTGAGGTACTTTCTATGTGTCCGCGAAACCATTGTTATTTTCTGCTAAAGTTATCAGGATTTAATCTTATAAAACGAATTGAAATTGTTTTCATATTTTTTCGATTTTTGAATATTTGATCAATACAGTTATTTGCTTCCCAATTTTTCTTTGTGGTACAACTTGCGATATGATGAGAACTTCCCTCGCGCATTTCTTTTCTTATTGTTAACGTTTTCCTGTCGACCACATATCTCCTTATTTGAAATTAAACAACATGGTTCTTAGTAGTCTTTGTTAAGTTCAAGTGAATAACAAAGCAAAATATGTCTCTAAAAACGGAGTTATTAATCACTGTATAATTAACAGAAGGAAATGATCTGCTCTCTTGATTTTGGGACAAATTGGTATCTGTTGGTCTACAAAAATAAATCTTTTCTTCTCCTTTGTACGGATTTCTAGATAATGACCAAAATCGGATGGATATCTTTCATTTTTTTATATCTCTAAAAGCAGTTGGAATATTGTCTGATCTTTCGTCACTGTTTATGACCTGTAACTGAAATATTTTCTGATAGTTCGCCTTCTTCATTGATTTCAGTCGAAATAGTTTTTGATACATTTTTAATTCTTAAAATTATATTTGAACTGTCTGATGCTGCATTTAAATGCTCGCAAATTTCTGATGAATGTTCCTGAGAGCTCAGAGTTGATGCTTCATATTCTTCTTGACTAGAATTTTCAACTGGGGAATACTGATCAGCAGTTTTGATTTTTTCATTGCCCATTCAAAAGCATCGCATAATTCTTTTTTCTTCTTTCTTTTTTTTTTTTTTGTACCCATTTAAAGCTTTCTTCTCTATGTTATAAGATTTTTCAATGTTCTAGTTTATGAACAAAAAGGAATATAAGTAGAGTAAATCATTTAATTCATCATTTAATAAATCAAGAAGAAAATTTTAAGAGTATCATTCATTATTTTATGCCTATTTAAATCAGTAAATTCTGTATCGTTTCATAAAATCATAAGGAATTCATTTCACTTTACGTTCATTTCCAATCTAAACAAATAATATAAATTAAATACAAAATTTTATATTATTTTTTATATTTAGATACATCCTAGAGTTCCTTTATGTTAATTAACTAGTTATGATTTAGACGTATACTGTCATTTCTTCTTTCCGTTTCCATGCCAGAATAAATACGGCTCCGAAAGTCAGAAGGAGATAGTTGGTATTCAGATGTGAGAAACTGCGGTTCAAGAGAGTTAGCTGAACTGCGCTTTAGATCTTAGTCTGAGAATGATATCGGTAATTTATTACATTTCTCGTGTGTTAAAGAGGATTTGCTTAATACCCGATTTCTCCTTAAGCTGTTTATAGGTATTATTTTTACTGCGCTTTTGCTGTGTTTTTCTACAATAAACTATCAGTCTTTTCCTCTTCATATGCAATG